CGTGCGGGTGATTTGGGACGCCATGGACCAGCTAGCGCGGCGCAGCCAGCGGACGGTGCAGCAGTGCGGCGCGGGCATCCGCGTGGAGGCGGCCCGTACGGAGGCCGGCCAGACGCCATACAAGCCACTGCAGGCGTACATGGACGAGGCCAGCATTGAGAAGCACGTGCAGTCATGGCAGCAGGTGTTGGCATTCATCGCGCGCACGCAGGCCGCCCAGGCAAGCCCAAGCCACGACAGGGATGGTGATAGCCAGGAGGATGGTGATAAAGGTGATGGCAGTGGCCATGGCCATGGCAAGTGGCTAGGGAGGTTGCCCGCGTATGGGATGACCCCGCGGCAGCGCCAGAAGTGGCAGGTATTATGGCAGCTAGCCATGCCGGCCATCGCGAGGCCCGAAGCTGAAGCTGAAGCTGGTGGCCAAGCACGTGCGCAAGCCCGAGCCAGGCCAGGGGTGAGGGTTATCCATACGTTCGCCGGGGCAGGCCAGATCATTGAGGACGTGTGGAGAGCCAGCCCCAGCGCCAGTACCAGCCCAGGTAGTAGCAGCCCAGCCGTGATGGAGATGGACGAGGAGATGGATGATGGGGATGGGGTCGAGGCTATAGATGCCGAGGTGGAGGCGTGGTGGATGACCCCAATAGAGCAAGCATGCTTGGAGTTTTACATTGAGCTGATGAACCAGTGCCACCGCACGCACGAGTACGAGAGCGCGCTGGTGTGCGCCATGGCCGTGCAAGGGTGGGGCGAGGCGCGCTGGCGCGATCCCAGCAGTTACCCGCCCATATTATCCCGCGTGCTCAAGGTGGCGCGCTTCATGGTGGTGCGGAAGGCGTTGTGGTTAGATCCCCACGCCAGGGAGATCATCCGCATGTGGACGGGCCATCAGCAGCCAGGCGGCAGCGGCAGCAGCCCCGTTACATGGCCGTTGACCAGCGTGGACGAGCAGCTGGTGGATATCCATCCAGGGGATCCGGCCCAAGGATCACCACCATCATCAGGAGCAGGATCAGGATCAGGGTCAGGGTTAGGTGGGAAGCTGTTCCACGACCACGTGCAGCAGATGGTGCGCAGCTTCATGATCCGCGGCACGCACGGCCCCATGCAGACGTTGCTAGATTGGCGCACGTACGGGATGAAGGTGGATTTCAACACCACCAGGCCAGGGCATGTGGGATGGATGGGCAGCGACGAGTTATTATACAAGGACGTGCATTTCACCATGGGGGCGTTCCGCGGCTTCGTTCATGGTTTGGTAGGATCGGCGCGCGAGCTGCTGCGGGAGGTATTATATATATCCCCACCCGGCACCACCACCAGTAGCACCAGTAATAGCAACACCACCACCAGTTTCCCACCCATCCCATGGTCCGGATTGTACGACGACCCCACGCAGGGCTAACACTATTCTGGGCCAGTACCTGGGGGAGGTACAGCGCAAAATAAAGTCTTGGCAGAGGGGGAGGTACAGAGTTGAACTGTGTACCTCCCCTGCGATTGCTTAATTATTAATATTATACAATAATTTTTATATGTACATGTAGCTACTAGAGTTAAATTTAATAAAAATTAATAATATTACTAGATTTCCTAAAGGGGAAGGCGTAATTAAGGTTCTAAAATATAAGCGAATTTTTTATTAGGGTACGCCTTGGCGCGCTAGGAGCGGGTAATCTAGTCCTAATTAGGCCACCTAGGTGCCTGAGGCGGCTATATATATGCCTGGTAGATGCCTGAGGCTTGATGGATGCCTAACCCAGGGGGGGTAACCCGATGGACGTCCATCAGCATTAGGGTTCGGCCCGATGGGGTTTAGCGGCCGGGGAAAACTCGCGCTAAGTTCATCCATTTAGATTAAAAAGGTCATCCATCTATATCTCCCATGGGCGTTCCTGGGCTTTAAAAATCAGATGGCGTGAACGGGCGGGCACTTATTCTTCAGGTAATTAAAAAGTAGAAGCCACATAAACGTAAGATGAAGCTATAGCATGGGTGTAAAGGCAGCCAGGTTTTACCAGGTTTTATTAGGGTATGCTGCCACGCGGGACGGGATGAGAGGTATAGCGCGGGATAGAGACAGCGCAAGAGTAGTAGAGAGTAGTAATAGGAAAAAGTAAAGCAAGAGTGAGCTAGATTCCTCATGCAGCAAGCTGCCATGGGAACCACGAATATAAATGTTTATTTATAATCAGGGAAGGTGATTTTTTTAAGCCCATTAATACCCATGCCCATGCCCATGTAGATGATCC